CGAAACCGAACCTTCGGTCGGTCACTAATAATAACCCTTTTTATACAAACTTAGTTTATTGATGTTTTTGAAGTTTGAGTAGGTTTTGTATATTTTCTGGGATTTTGTTGTTTGTTTGTGTAAATGTGATATATTACGTTAATGCTCTCATTGAATAATATTGACAATATTGTGAACACACTAAAATATGTTCTCAATTAGGGAGTAAATTTTTATGGGTGTAAGTGTTGATGTTTTTACAAAATTGACTTAAAAAAGTATTTCTTAACGTTATATTGTTGATTTTAACTTTAAAATAAATAAATATATTGTTACATGACTATTACAATGACTGTTTTTCATTAACATGCATTACCTATCTGTGTATGTATAAAAATATACCAGATTTCAGTATACAATAAAAAAATTAACATGTCTAAATAAGTTTCGGTTTCGGTTTCGGCCGAAACTGACACCCAGACCGAAGGTTCGTTTTCGGTTGAAAAATCTTGTTTCGGTCGGACACTAGTAAGATAAATATTATTTTAGAGTTTCTATAAAATAAAGAATGATGGCCAGTCGGGGTGAGGCAGAGAAGTTTCCAGAAAGTTGTTAGAAAACATATAAATATCGCGCCCATTGGCTGGAGATACGTTCGAAGTTCGGGCCTTACCAGAAAAAGGAGAAACAAAAGGAAGTCCAAAACGGTAACTCTGCCCTGCCCTCAGCTGCCTCCCTGACATGTCAACAAGCGTGTTTGTTCATCCTGAAGCAATCTATCTATCTCCAACATATACCCCTATAAGGCTATCCATGGGGATGAATGTGACGCAGTGGTGGTACATAAGCCCTAATTATAATGATGACGACAAAGGGTGAGAATGAGCACAGAGCCTCATAGTCAGTGAATACTGTATTTCATAGACTATCCTCGATTAATTAACTAAATGAAATTGTGTTGTCACACCTAAGGACTATAGGTGGAATACTTCAGTACCAGTGTAGTCTCCGGTTGCCCTTTTTTTTTAGAATAACAGTGGTGGTACATATATAATAAAAAAACACGGCTGCCAACTCACCTGCACGGCAACTATAGCCAACATCCCTATGAGGCAGTCCATGGGGTAAGCCTATACTCAGCTGAGGACTTCTGTGACGGTAACGATAAACGTCCAAACGAAAAACATAAACATCATTTAAATATAAAAAAAACCTGAAGGTCTGGTCTGTTTACACTAACCTCCCATTAGCGGTACATATTTTAAGGTTCCATTTCTTATTGGTTTTAGAATTTGCTTCTTCAGATTTTTCTACTCTTTCTATAATTTCATAAGATTTTTTTTCTGTTATTTTTTTTGTTACTCTTTCTATAAAATAACACGATTTTTTTTTTATTTTATCGTGTTATTTTATGTTAAAATTTCGAAATTATATGATACTTAATGATAGTATCATACAATGTGTCACAAAAAAAAAGTGCCGTGTAGTGGCAGTCAAGAATATCCACCACCCCATATCCTCCCGTGGGTATCGTAAAAGGCGACAAAGGGAAACAGGCAGGAGATGGGCAGCAGCATCTTCCTGATAATAACCAAAATTACAATAAAAAAACTGCGGTTGCCAACCCGCTCGCCAAGCGTGGCAACTATGGCAAATACCCCCCAGTGATTAAAGCAACAAACAGACAGCCCCCAGTCCCTGGCGGCCCCGCTATTCCTGGCTACGGTGGCGACCATGGTAACGGCGGGGCAGGGGGTGCTAAGAATCTCCGGTGGAGGTTCGGTTGCCACCTTAGACGACTCGATCTAGCAACGTACAACGCACGCACCCTGAGGACTGACGTGAAGATCGTGGAGCTGGAAGAAGAGATAGACAATTTGCGCTGGCATATTATAGGATTATCCCAAGTCCGAAGAGAGGGGGAGGACACGGTAATCCTCGAATCCGGCAACTTGCTCTATCACCGGGAGGGCGACCATCTGTCCCAAGGAGGTGTCGGATTTATCGTCCACAAGTCTCTCGTTAACAACGTTGTAAAGATCGGGAGTGTGTCGACGAGGGTTGCGTACCTTATATTCAGAATCACCAAACGGTATTCGCTGAAGGTCATACAGGTTTACGCACCAACCTCGGCACACCCCGATCAGGAGGTGGAGGAAATGTATGAGGATATCTCTAGAGCCATGCATTCCTCCAAAACCCAATATACGGTGTTAATGGGAGACTTCAATGCAAAACTAGGCACAAGAGAGAACGGTGAGCTGAAAGTAGGGAAATTTGGAATAGGACAACGGAACCCAAGGGGCCAGCAGCTGGCCGACTTCATGGAGAAAGAGGGACTCTTTATGATGAACTCTTTCTTCCAGAAGCGGCCCCACAGGAAGTGGAGCTGGTCGAGTCCCGACGGTTCAACAAAAAATGAGACTCGACTTCTTTATGACGACCAGACGACAACTGTTCAGTGATGTCTCCGTGATCGCGAGGGTGAAAACTGGTAGCGATCACCGAATGGTTAGAGGCACACTGAACCTAAACGTTAAGTTGGAGAGGTCTCGTCTAATGAAGTCAACGCTCCGTCCCCCTCGTGCTCTGTTCCAAAGTCCCGAAACCTTTCAGCTCGAGTTACAAAACCGTTTTCAGTGCCTAGAAGACTGCAATGAAGTGGACGATATGAATGACAAGCTCGTGGAAACTGTCCAGAAGAACACAAAAACTCTCCGATCACACTCTTAATCTCATGGCTGTTAGACGGGAGATGAAGCTACATTCTTCAACGGGCGGGACTTACGCAACTTCAATACAGCTCGTATTGAAGAAGCGATCGAGCGGAACCAAGGCTCCAAAGTCTTTGCCAGAGATCTGTCTGCCAGAAAGAGCCAACTGTCAAAGCTGAAGACAGAATGTGGCAGCATCGTTTCCGGGACACCTGAGATTTTGAGTGAGATTGAGAGGTTCTATGGGCAGCTGTACACGTCATCGTTGGAGCCACACGCAAGTGTGAGTAACGATCCAAGAACGAGTCTCATCCGACACTATTCCGAAGATATCCTGGACGTCAGTCTGAGCGAGATTAGAATGACTTTCCAGCATCTTAAAAACGGTAAGGCCCCAGGCGAGGATGGAATTACAGCGGAGCTTCTGAAAACGGGTGGAAGACCGGTACTTGAAGTCCTTCAGAAGCTCTTTAATTCCGTCCTCCATGGTGCCATTACACCGGAGGCGTGGAGCAGAAGTGCGGTGGTCTTGTTCTTCAAGAAAGGTGACAACGCTCTCTTGAAGAACTCCAGACCGATTTCTCTTATGAGCCGCGTCTAAGTGCTGTTTACGAGAGTCATTACGAATCGTCTCGCGCGCAGACTTGACGACTTCCAGCCTCCCGAACAAGACGGTTTCCGAAAGGGCTTTAGCACCATAGACCACATACATACCCTTCGGCAAATTCTACAGAAGTCCGAAGAGTATAATTTGCCACTATATCTGGCGTATGTGGACTATGAGAAAGCCTTTGATTCCGTCGAAATTTAGGCGGTGCTGCAGTCCTTTCAGCGGTGCCAAGTTGACTGTCGGTATATCGAAGTGTTGAAGTGCTTGTACAGTAGGACTACGGTGGCTATCCGAGTACAGAACCAGAGTACGAAACCTATCCAATTGCAGAGAGGTGTAAGACAGGGTGACGTCATATCCCCGAAACTTCACCGCTGCATTGGAAGACGTTTTCAAGCTTCTGGACTGGAAAGGATACGGTATCAACATCAATGGCGAGTACATCACTCACCTTCGATTTGCCGACGATATAGTCCTTATGGCAGAATCGATGGAGGACCTAAGCACTATGCTCAATGACCTCAATAGTGTTTCCCAACGGATAGGTCTTAAGATGAACATGGACAAAACAAAGATCATGTTTAATGTCCATGTCACACCTATGCCGGTAGTTGTTGGGAGCACTAAGCTCGAAGTTGTTGACGAGTATGTTTACCTGGGACAAATAGTCAGACTAGGTAAGTCCAACTTCGACCGAGAGGTCAATTGACGGATTCAACTCGGCTGGGCAGCGTTCGGGAAGCTACGACACATCTTCTGGTCAGACATACCTCAAAACCTTAAAACAAAATTGTACAACCAGTGCGTGTTGCCAATAATGACTTACGGAACTGAGACGTGGTCCTTCACTGCTGGCCGTATGAGGAAGCTCAAGGTCGCTCAGCGAGCTATGGGGAGGGCTATGCTCGGAGTTTCTCTGCGTGATAAACTTAGGAATGAGGATATCCGCAGTAGAACCAGAGTAATCGACATAGCCCAACGGATTAGTAAGCTGAAGTGGCAGTGGGCCGGCTATATAGCTCGAAGAACCGACAACCGATGGGGAAGAAAGATTCTCGAGTGGCAGCCTCGTACCGGTAGGCGAATTGTAGGGCGTCTCCCCACGAGATGGAGTGACGACCTGGTAAGACATGCAGGAAGTCGATGGATGCAGGTGGCTCAGGACCGTGCTTTGTGGCATTCTTTGGGGGAGGTCAATGTTCAGCAGTGGACTTGTGAAGGGCTGTAATGATGATGATAATGATGATGACTCTTTCTATAATTTTTTTATCTGGTACACTTTTATATTTACCTATATAAAACACGTTTACATAACATTGTACATATTAGATAGCTCACGAAAAAGGTATTCCTCAAGTGTACATTTTTATGTCTTCTCAAACGATTTTTTGTAAACATTTATTTATACAAAAAAAAATCATTTGTATTATGTGTAACAAAGACGATCGCTCGCATTTCTATTCTTGTACATTATTTAAAAAAATTCCTGCTAAATATTTTTAACAAACTGCCATTGCTATAATATAGAATACAGAGGGGGGAGCATTGCAAGTCTGTTCTGTTTCCACTTACCTCGCTTATTAGCTTTTGAATTAGCTTCTTGCAAATAAATGCAGTTTCAATTAGCACATAAGGCACGGAAAGGTTTCTCTACTCGTTCTATAAATTCATAAAAAAATAATGAGAAATTGCTTTTTACCTGGTACACTTTATATATTTATATATTTTTTTTTTCATTTATTTATAACATTTTAATAGGTACAAGGGTTACATCTATTTAACTTGAAAGAACCGTGAGGTTTGTCCGCAAGTTACAGTCTCACATATAATACAACGTAATAAATAATATAATCATCTAATCTATGGCTGCTTACAAATATTATTATAGGTACATGTTTAATTGTATACATTTAATTCATGAATTACAACCCAACGTTAATTGCAAATCACCGCGCTGACCGGGCCGTATTACCTGAGAACAGGTTTCGATGAGCCCACGAGTGTGGGCGAGACATTTAGATCGTTCTTAGAGAGCGCTCGGATTATTTAGCAGAAGCTGTATACAGGTTGCTGCAAAAAGTGTGAGTTGATATGATTTTTTTTTATTTATTTATTATTTAAACTTTTTCATTGTTTATTTATTCATATTTTAGCATTTAAATAGATATACAATTCACTCACTAAAATATAAACAAATAAACATGTTTATTATTTAAATATATAAGAAAGATATGTGCATATACACCTGTGCATATGTACATATGTGCTTATTATATGGTATATAATATGTAAATTATATGTATAATATTTCATTTATGTAATCTACTCCCGTTGTAGCTGTTCATAAAAATATTTTTTGAATTTTTTTTTTGTAGTTATCCTCATTGAAATCTGAGAGTATTGCAGGGGGGATTTGGTTCATTAAAGTAGGAATTAAACATCTATTTGTACGTTTTCCATAGAAGTTATGTATTTTGGATGTTACGAGTTTATTTTGTGTAATTTTTCTTGTAATAATTTTATGGTTAGTTTTAACTTGCACTTTTTTATTGTGAAATTGTTCTATTAGATTAGTATTAGCATCTGAAATTTCGTATGTATAGGTAAGACTTTACAATATTTAAATGTTCCTTCAATATTGTTTTCACTGTATAATTTTATTTTTACTAAACTAACTTTGAAAATAATTAAACCTATGAAGGTTTAATTATTTTCAATATTCTCATTTGTAGATTATGTATTTTATTTAGGTAAGTTTAAAATGTTTTTCCATAACTCGTAATGCCATATGAAATAATAGACTCAGCAAGAGCGTTATATAGATTCACAAGAATGGGAAATGGCATTTTATATTTTAGTATTGCAAACTTTGCTAGCATAGCCCGTAGCTTGTTACATACATACTCAACATGTTTACTCCAATGGAATCTTTCGTCCACAATCAGGCCTAGGTATTTATAATTGTTAACTTGTTCTAGATGAGTACAATTACAGTTAATATTTAATTTCGTCGATCTATGAAGGAAGTCATGGTTGTGTGCGAGTATTCTTATTGGTCTTTCCTTTTTATTAGACTGCGTTGAGCGTACATGTATAATTTTAGTTTTCATTGTATTTAATCCCGCATCATGTGACCACATACATAGGTTAGTAAAATCGAGTTATAACATTTTGTGCTCTTGTAATGTCTTTATTAGCTATTACTAGGCAAGTATCGTCTGCATATTGATGATACACTGAACTATGTTTAATAATGTTCACCATGTCATTTACAAAGGCCAGATAGTGTAAAGGGCCAAGGACCAATCCCTGGGCTGTTCCTGTAATGACAGGTATTTCATCACTGTATTCGTTTTCAATTCTCACCCGGTAGTTTCTACCTTTGAGGTAATCTTCACACCACCTGAGAAGAGGCCCACGAACGCCCGTATTATCTAGTTTTTTTTTTATTAATAAATCGTGTTTAAGTGTATCGAAAGCTTTACTGAAGTCAATAAATAAAAGAATTACGTGTTGCTTGTCGTCTAAATAATTGTTAATTTCATTTGATATATAATACTTTTGTATCTGAATACATATGTATTTTTCAACTATTTTATCTACCACAGGAAGTATTGTAATTGGCCTATAATTGTCATAATCACAGTGCGACCCCTTTTTGTAGATGGGTCTTACTATTCCTACTTTTAATTCTGATGGATAAATAGAAGAATGAACACTGGTATTAATAAGCTTTGCAATTGCTGTTGTGATTTTTTCACATAAGGATTTTATGTCAACACAGCGAATCTAGTCCGCTCCGGGAGCTTTGTTTATGTTCAATTTCTGAATTATTTTATCTATGCTCTTGCTATCTGCTGCTTCAAACCGCATTGAACTATTTTGAGAAAAGAGGAAAACATATAAGACATGTTTACATAATCTTGTACATATTTTACCAGTTATCTCATGAACAAGGTTTTGCTCCAGTGTGTAGTTTCATATGCCTTTGCAAACTACATTTTTGAATACATTTATATTCACAGACATTACACGAATAAGGTTTTTCTCCAGTGTGTATTTTCACGTGTGTTCTCAAATCACCTTTTCGTATACATTTATATTCGCACATATTACATGAAAATGGTTTTTCTCCGGTGTGTATTTTCATATGTGTTTGCAAATTACATTTACTTATACATTTATATTTACAGATATTACACGAAAAATGTTTTTCTCCAGTGTGTATTTTCATATGTGTTTGCAAATTACTTTTTTGAATACATTTATATTCACAGATATTACATGCAAAAGGTTTTTCTCCCGTATGAATTTTCATATGTGTTTTTAAATTAGATTTACTTATACATTTATATTTACAGATATTACACGAAAAAGGTTTCTCTCCAGTGTGTATTTTCATATGTGTTTGCAAATTACTTTTCTGAATACATTTATAGTCACAGCTATTACAAGCAAAAGGTTTTTCTCCGGTATGAATTTTCATATGGTATTGCAACTTATCTTTACTAATACTTTTATAATCACAATTATTACAACAGTACATTTGTTTAGCTACGTGCGCTTTAAGATGTGCCAAAGTGCAACGTTTTTGAGATGTTTGTAATTCACAAATATCACAGTTAAATATATCCATTAGTTGTGGTACTGGAGTTTGTTCACCTTGTGTCCGAACTGCAGCGATGTCCGAGTTCTTTTGCGTCTCATGACTGTATGAAATGTGTTTGGCGAGAACGTCTCTACTTGATTTTTCTGTAAGTATATTTACACTCTTTCGATTCAAAATTTTATTTTTCATAATCTTTGCAAATTGCTTTCCTTTTTTATTAATTGGTTGATTATCTTTTTTCTCTTTAGGGTTAGATTTAATAATAGGGCTTTCAAAATCAAGGTTTTCTTTACGTACATCGTTTATTTTACTATCAGTTGAATTTGATTTAATCATTTTCTCAGACGGTTTTGAAAAGTTATTTGTCAGTGTGATATATTGACCTGAAATAAACATTTTATTTATTATAAGATATTGCGTCCATATTGTAACACAACTTAAATGGTTAATGTTGGGCGGAGTTTATGCATTATGGCAATCTCTATCAGTTAACTCAAGGAGAAACAGATAAATTATAATATTTTACATAACTATACAAATTAATGTTGCTATATATAATGTATTTAAGCCAATTACTCTGAATAATGTCTCTCATATATATTTTTGGATGAAAAATTTTGTTAACCTCTACAGAAATGCCAATTATGAGTTTTAAAGAAAAAAAATCTCTTAATTAATTAAACAATAGAAACATACACATAAAACGATTATAAACAATTAAAAAATATATTTCAGGATTTTTTTTAAAATCTACATTTTGCCATGACAATAAAATCGTAACTTTTTGCACTCAGTATGGTTTCCGCCGCATCTAAAATAAGTGTCTATAATAACTCTTTCCTTCTTTCTCTCTTCTAAAATAACTTTTTTTTTATGTGATATAGAACAACAATTTGCGAAGCGATGCGGGAATGGCGTCAACTTTGAATGTGCATGACACAGCCTAAATTGCATAAATTCAAAATGGCGTGTACACTTACAATTTAGGCAAAGGCAAATCAGTACATTGCACATGAAACCCTCTTTATTTGGCGCTGGATGCGGTCAAGTGGAAGGAGCTGGTACTAGGGAGCAGGGTTGAGAACCGTATTCCATGTTAAGCCGAACCTGCCCCTTGTAAAGTTGCAATCAGTGTGCCAGCATGAAATACTGTCCCGCTTTGCTGAGCACGCCAAGCTTTTTAGAGACCAATTCAGCCTTCCCTTCCAAGTGACCACAAAACTACACGTTATTCGATATGTCAATGCTAAAGATTCCGATACTGGCTGATGTAACAAGAGGAGTGCCCTGAAATTGAGGAGTTACGACAAAGGGGTTCTTTTTAGTGGTAAACGCGCAAACTTGTGTCTTCTGGGCATTGAACTTAATTAGATTTAGTAGCCCCAATCCGAGACCTTATCCGGCAAAAACTCGACTTCAGACACAAGTTTGTTCCGGTACTCAGCAGCCGGTGTATAAAGCATCACCAATGTACGTTACTGGTTTGCAACATATTATTGATAAGCGGAAGAAACAGCGTAGGTGATAGCACGTAGCCTTGTGGAACACCAGCATAAATAGGCTTGTAAATGGAGCATGCACCTTCTACTACGAATTTGTTAGTCCAATCTGCAAGAAAATTGATGAACTGACTGAAGACTGATGATCCAGTTGCATAAATTCTCGGGAAGCCCATAGGAAGGGAGCTTCGAAAGAAGCACTTTGTGCCAAATCCGATCGAAGGACTTCGCTATGTTCAAACTAACGGCCAGAGACTCCCTCTTTGTCTCCGCCGATTTATGAGTCAGGTAAGCCAGAAGATCGCCAGCTGAGCAACCCCGACGGAAATCGTACTGGCGGTCACTTTTCAGTTGGTGATCCTCAACCTCATGAGCGGGTCACAATGGTTTTCATTATTTTGGAGAACAAGTTGGATAGGTATGAGCGGTCGATATTCGGTTATTTTTTAAGGATCTGGTGCACTAAGGCTGTATTCTTTGAGTTCGGGACTACGTCTAGGGAGACGAAAAGAATCGGAATAGAGGTTGTGATCGGGACGGACTCCAACGCGCATCATCCCCTCTTTCATAAACATATGTTGTCGCACAATAATCAACCGCTCACTTGGAAGAAGGCTCCAGAAGGAGCAGCTAAACTAATTACGGGGTAGCATGTGCCGAAAGAGGCCTCATGCTCAGACCATAGATGGATCTGCTTCGTACTACAGGTCGATATCCCCGCTACACCACCATGGAGAAATGACTGACGTCTTCGCTTGCGGGTTTTGAAGGGATTAGTATGTATCTTAATTATATCATAATGCTGCATACATATTAAAGCAAGAATTAATTGCTCCTAGAAGAACAAGTAGCAGGTGTTGCTAAAGCCATGATAGATAGCTACCACGAATCATGTCCAAAAATCACTCCACTAAAGCAACCGTGGTGGGGTAAAAAACTAGATAGAAAACGTAAAAAAAGCCCTAAATAGGGCCATGAACACCTCAATGGATGAAGACTGCCTACTATACAAGAAACCCAAATCCAAAAAAATGTAGCTCGTAGCAACGCTCGAATAATCACATTATTCCTGCCTACATGCAGAATACACGCTTAGACGTGGAGGTGCGGAAAACAGTCCGTCGTAAACTAACTAAATAAAAACTGATATTTTTTCCAAGTGACTAGAACATTTCACTCCATCACACAGCTTATGAGCCTGAGTCACATACTTTCTTTACCATATTGCATGTATCATAAGCTAATGGTAATAAGCTGGAGTGGCAATGAGCTGGCCATATTTATCGAAAAACTGACAACCGGTGGGGAAGAAAGATCCTCGAGAGGCAGGCTCGTACCGGTACACGAAGTGTAGGGCAGCCTTCCACTGAATGAAGTGACGACCTGGTAAGACATGCAGGAAGTCAATGGATGCAGGTGGCTCGGGCCATGCTTTGTGGCATTCCTTGGGGTAGGCCTAAGTTCAGAAATGGACTTGTGAAGGGCTGTAATGATGGTGATGATTCATTCAGCTCAATTAGTGGGAATTCTGCCACAACTTGTGTTTAGAAGTGCATGCCGGTACAAAGATGCCTTGAGCACCCTTTCACCATATTTTTTTAATATGAAGTGACAAACAGTCCATCTTATGGTATGTAGCCGTACCACCTGATGGTAAGTCGGTACTGCAGTCCATGGACTGCGTGCAGCGAACTTCAAACATTAAAGGCTACAATGCGCTGTCACCTCTGATGACTAAGATGGAACACCCTACAGCTTGTGACTGTACTGACTCTATTTTCTCCGGACTGGAACACAACAGTACACACTGCTATTTGACCGAAGAAACAGGAAAGAAGAGGAGAGAGGAGTCCATATGGGTATATGCACCTATATCTACTCCTCGGCAAAAATGGAGTCCTACCACCTAATAATGACACTTAGCAATTGGCAAAGATTGGTTGTTGCTTACCAGTTGTAAGTATGTATGTCATTAATTCCCATGAAATGAATACATCTTCATATCATCAAATGAGTACATCACTCACCTTCGATTTGCCGACGATATAGACCTTATGGCAGAATCGCTGAAGGACCTAAGCACTATGCTCAATGACCTCAACAGTGTCTCCCAAGGGATAGGTCTTAAGATGAACATGGCCAAAACAAAGATCATGTTTAATGTTGTTGGGAGCACTAAGCTCGAAGTTGTTGATGAGTATGTTTACCCGGGACAAATAGTCCGATTAGGTAAGTCTAACTTCGAGCGAGAGGTAACTTCGATCGACGTATTCAACTCGGTTGAGCAGCGTTCGGGAAATTACGGCACATCTTCTCGTCAGGTATACCTAAAAACTTGAAAACGAGACTATACAACCATTGTGTGTTGCCAGTGATGACCTATGGAACTGAGACGTGGTCCTTTACCACTGGCCGGATCAAGAAGCTCAAGGTTGCTCAGCGAGCTATGGAGAGGGCTATGCTCGGAGTTTCTCTGTGTGATAAACTTAGAAATGATATCCACAGTAGAACCAGAGTGACCGACATAGCCCAACGGATTAGTAAGCTGAAGTGGCAATGGGCTGGCCATATAGCTCAAAGAACCGACAACCGATGGGGAAAAAAGGTTTTTGAGTGGCGGTCTCGTACCGGCGGACGAAGTGTAGGGCGTCCCCCCACTAGATGGAGTGACAACCTGGTAAGATATGCAGGAAGTCGATGGATGCACCTGCAGCCACCTGGCTCAGGACCATGTTTTGTGGCATTCATTGGGGGAGGCCTATGTTCAGCAGTGGACTTGTGAAGGGCTGTAATAATGATGATGATGATGATGAATACATCTTAGTGACATAACTCACTGCATCGATACAGGGTCATAATATTGTTAAAATATATTAATACATAAGTAAAAAATATCTAAAGCTCATTATAATGTCCATACATGCTTTTCTTTTAAATAATTAATTAATTTGTAATTTTCTTTCTCCATAAGAGTGCTTTTAACATGTACACGAAGCCTGCTTTATCTTGTGTCCATGGGCTACAATAACCACTTACCATTCAGTAAACTGTACTTTATTTTAATAATATCATAAAATATGTATATCTTACCTATTTCATGATTCCCATTTTCTTCTAAGTTGGAATTATCATCTTCGAAATTCTCTTCCTCAACTTTAACAGATTCAAAGCTAAAAATTTCGTCCTTACAATCATTTTCTACATCACAATTTACTGGCATGATATCTATATGACAAATTGGTGTGAATTGAATCTCATCTCTTGCCTCAAGTGGTTTTGATATTGTCTGAAATCATTTTTTTTAAATAAGAGAAAAATGCCAGTGTAGTGGTGTTAAATGTAGAATCCATACTACCCGATACCGTCCCACAGATGTCATAAAAACAGAGGGAAACTGAAAGTGTAACTGTAAGTTGGATTGATGGACAAACTTAACTTTGCAGTAGAAAAACATTCTCCCATATGGAACAGGATAGAAAGCGTGAGACAGGTAGTGATTGCAAGGTGCCTGCCTAGTGATGATTATGGCAAATAATTCATTATAATGGGAATGACCCATCAAGCAGTGAACTTTTATTAATAAGAAGAATATCCACTGCACTATATACCTACACACAAGACGGGTGTCATAAGAAGCGACAGAGAGAAACAAGAGTTGGGCAGCAGCATCTTCCTGACAACTCAGACTAATATAAACTGCAGTTACCAACCTGCCAAGCGTAGCAAATTTGGCAAAGTCCCTCCTATAAATCAATTCATGAGGAAAGCGTATGTTCAGCAGTTGAATTTTAAAGATTTTAATAAATGGAATGGATAATACCGTGGACCCTCCTGCAAGCAATTGTTCCAGAACTGCATTTGACTCAATAGCCTGTTGTTGTAATCTTCTGCAACGAATGAGTCTTGCATGACAGGTGAAACAGACAATTATGGGCCCCACATCCCTATCATCCATCTGAAAATATGAAAGTTTGTCATAAATATGGAAAACTACTTAAATATATAAGTTTGTGATAAAATCTATTGGCTACCACAAATCTCTTAATCAACATTATTTTTAGGGTTCCGTAGCCAAATGGCAAAAAACGGAACCCTTATAGAATCGTCATGTCTGTCTGTCTGTCCGTCCGTATGTCACAGCCATTTTTTTCCGAAACTATAACAACTATGCTGTTGAAATTTGGTAAGTAGATGTATTCTGTGAACCGAATTAAGATTTTCACACGAAAATAGAAAAAAACAATAAATTTTGGGGGTTCTCCATACTTAGAACTGAAACTCAAAATTTTTTTTCATCAAACCCATACGTGTGGGGTATCTATGGATAGGTCTTCAAAAATGATATTGAAGTTTCTTATATCATTTTTTTATAAACTGAATAGTTTGCGCGGGAGACACTTCCAAAGTGGTAAAATGTGTGTGTGTGTGTCCCCATGTAACTTCTAAAATAAAAGAATGATAAAACTAAAAAAATATATGATATACATTACCATGTAAACTTCCACCGAAAATTAGTTTGAATGAGATCTGGTAAGTAGTTTTTTTTAATACGTCATAAATCGTAAATTATGTTACTTTTTTTTTTTATAGCATAAGGGTGACAAACGAGCACACAGTCCAGCTGATGGTAAGTGGTTACTGCGGCCCATAGACATCTACATCTATCCTCTGTTACAAATCAAAATGTAGATGCGTTATCACCCGTGAGGACTAAGATGGAATGCCTCATTTCCAGTAAAAAGAGCCTCCGGCCACCTGCACTCACCAAGCGAAACGCAGAGGTAAACCTCTACTTCACGATGGTATTCTGTGAGGTCGTGGTACCACCCCGGTTCGAGCCGGCCCATCCGTGCGACAGCAAAAGCTGCCGCGTGGCTCTACCACTGTTAAACTTGCTACTTGCTGCTACGGAACCCTTCATGGGCGAGTCCGACTCGCACTTGATCGCTTTTTATTTATAACATCGAAGTGACCAATTAACTTTCCACCTGACAGTAAGCGGCTACTGCAGCCCATGGGCACCTGCAACGAACTTCAAGCAAAGTCTACAAATGCGATGATACCTCTGCGGACTAAGATGTAATGCTTCACAGGCTTTGCTTGCTTCACTGCTATTTTACTCTACTATTTTGTGAGAGTGTGGTGCCACCACTGTCGACCCATCCATAATACAACCATAATATAGCTGTAGCGTGGCCTTAACAGATATAAAATAATAATAATGTCCTACAGACAGAATTTCAGTCACCATGGAGACTATTCATTAGTACAGTACAGGATTGAATATGACATGTGTGCTTAAAAGCAAGCACAAGTGTACATAATTCCCTCCTTTGATTTCTTAGTCTGATACGAATTTGAGAATTATGAGAGCAAGGGAATTTCTGTGTCTGGTAGCATATGTACACTCCCTATTCTCCCATTTTAATAGTCCGATAGAACGGTTTTAAGTGGGTGAAAGACCAAACCAAGGTAGATGTTAATTTCTTGATAGAAAATCCCAATAATACTAATTGACGTAATATGTACTAGAATAAACACCGGGAACAAAATCTATACAGCAGTGCGGGTCACGGGAGGAGTCTGCCTTTTTATGGCAGACTCAGTAAGTTTGAGCCCGTGGGCTCTAACACGTGTTGCAAAGAACATCTTGTATTACGTAGTACATATTATTTCAAAGATAGTACTGATATTAGTGTGACCCAGGATACCAGGCTAATCTGGGGGCACGGCAGTGCCCCGCCAAGTCGAACAAAAAAGTGGCACGGCAGTACCATCCTCTTCTCGAGGCAGTTCAGGCCATTTTCGAAACACTATAACTTCGTTGTGGATAAAACTAGAAGCCTGAATTTTAACTTATCAAGTAATAACAATAATAATGTCCTCCAGACCGAATTTCGGTCACAGCAGCCAGCCTCAACGGAGACTAGCCATCTGCGCAGGACAGGATTATAGTGCCTAAGTGTATGCGCAACCACAGGTGCACTCTCTATTCCCTCACTCTCATAGTCCGATGGGACGGTAAGCCGACAAGACCGGAGAGAGATCAGGCGCAGGACCAATGGCTTAACGTGCTTTTCGAGGCACGGGGGTGAGACACCGCCAACTTCCCAACTCCAGGCAGCTACTGAGAATTTCTTGATAAAAAAACTCAATAACTGATTTGTTTTGATTTGTAAAAAGTTGTGAGATCCATGTAATACCAAGTCGGTTAATTTATTCAGTCCCTACTTAAGGGACTTCTGTCTTAAATTATTACGTAATTAGCTAACCTAACAAAATCTTATAGTGACCTTATCAATATCGAAAATCTTTTATGTTTTAAATAAATAAATTGACTTGACAGTCGCACTAAACAATCTAATTATAAAAATATAATATGTATACTTGAGAGATATATTGTGTTTTCATGCGGTGGCCAAGTCAATCTATTTATTTAAAATATAAAAGATTTTTAATATTACTGGTAGAACTGTAGAAGAACTGAGTTGCAAGACTTGGCTTTTTTTAAAAGTTATGTTTTGATGGCATTGTTGGTTTTCAGGTTCTGGTTGTTTTTGTCACTAAATTTAACGCTGCACCTTAGCCTCGACCCAATCTATCGCATTTTATATCAGACAAGTTATAATATATTTCTACAACGATAACAACAAATTACCGACTCACACTTCAATTTGCAATATTTAGAAAATAAACAAACTTACAAAACTGTTAGTCAATGTTTTATATAAATTTTGTAGGCCAGTCTTCTTTAACACAAACATGCGTACATTAACGCATAAACAAATTTTACAAACTCCACTAAAGGCCATTCTTGTTTCCTACATATAGCTTTTTCAACAATAAAGTTTATTGTTGGATAACACGATACGTGTTGTGAACGCGAGCTTGATCTACTGAACTCAACTGAAAGGGTATTAGTTTTCTGTGACTGAACTACTGATTTCTGATTACTCAAAGTACTCTGTGACTACTGATCACGGCTGGTAATCTTTCTTTGAGCAAAAATCTTTGACCGTATGAAATGAAGTGAGCAATTCAGATTCAGAATCAGAACATGACGTTTCCCTCGTCCCTCCCATCTCTTGCCCCTTCCCGCTACCGCCATTTTGTCATAGGGATGAGTAAAGGGATAAAATATATCGATATATATCGAATCTATATTTTTAAACAGAATCGATATATATCGCGTGATAAATATCGATATATCGTCATCATTTGAATGATGTAAAGATAAGGGTCAAAATTTTATTTACTGACGGTTGGACGACGAAAAAAACAATACAACATTTTAAAATTCTAAATATATACGAATTCGATACTCTACAATAAATATCGATATGTCTATATAGCGCGATTTAAAGTATCGACGATATATTTGTTAAAAAATATCGATATTACGATATATCGATATTTTTACCCAAGCCTATTTTGTCATGTTAGCATGTTATTGTCGCGTAGCTGTCAAGTTAGAAGTTTTCTTGGAAATGTTTATTTTGTTTTTCTATGAAGTATGAACTAACTATAAATTATAAAGTTTTATTGGCATTTTACTGCTATTTTACGAAAGGGTATTATTAGTTTATTGTTTAATAGGTTATATATTTCGACGGGACGTTTTCTTTAGCTTTAGCGTATTTTGTATATAATTTTTAGTTTTAAAATTTATTTTTAAGTGTTTCATTCTCAATTGTGCAAGTAACAGAGAAGAGTCTGACGAAGGCCAAAGAACAAGTGGTTGGACTTTATAAACTGTGACAAACTTAAAAGTATGCTGCATTCCAGTAACCTTTTCAAGAAGCCTGCTTGGTCACAAAATTTTTGAATAAAGGGTTTCACACTGCTAAATCTAACATTAACTCTTCAAAACCCGAAACCCTTTTTTTTTTTTTCCGAATGAGTGTGCTGTTGGCCCTGCGGCCTTGACAGCTTCGTCTAATTAGGTTCGTAAGTGAGTACTTACGAACTATTGAGTGCAACGAGTGCCGTCGGCGAGGCGGCGCGAAGCGCCGTTTCGCCGACAGCAGTCCCGAGGCACCCCGACCCCTGCTTTCGGAGTGAGGCTCCTCGAGCTAGGGGGGGGCTCGATGCGATTCAAGGGCCCCTCTGAAGGAGGTACGAACCTCGGCTTGAATCGCTATCGCAATTTTATTAACGAGTCGCAAAAAGTTAGAAACGCCCCGTATCACGGGTGTTAAACCTCGTGTACGGAGTGTGTCTATGACGTCGCATTCGCCGGCGATTGCGGTGTGCCCTAGTGTTCTGTGCTAGAGTAGTGTCTGAGTGTGTGTAAGTGTTTATATTTACTAATCTAGTTCCCTCACCTGTGGAGGGGGGGGGGCGGGATCGACCTATTTATGGAAGTGATCTCATCATCGGGATCAAGGAGAACGTTCTTGGGACGTCTCCTGCTGGGGGCAACATCCCTCAGTGGGGAGTACGCGCCCGCCTCATTCACCAACGGATTTTCGTGTTCTTTAATCGACTCGAAGTATCTTAAGGATAGTTCCTTAAGATACGTATGAATTGTGGGCATATCGAGGTCGCGGTGAAGATCCGCGTTCCTCACATAGAAGGGAGCTCCTGTGATCTGACGCAGGAATTTGTTTTGAACAACTTGAAGTTGTTTTAGGCTCTTTTTATTGGCATGCGCAAAGGACACTCCTGCGTATGTCATAATAGGACGTACGCAGGTTTTGTACAGATGCAGTTTGTGTCTTAGGGACAGCTTACTGCGTTTGTTGGTTAAGGCAAAAAGACGATACACAACGAATTTTGCCTTATTTCTGACTGTTTTGATGTGCTGAGAGAAGCTCATTGCACTATCTAAGGTTACCCCCAGGTATTTTACCTCTCGGACCCACGGTATTGGGTTGCCGTAGAGGGAGATCGTACCTGTTTTATATTTTTTAATCTTTAACAGTAAGTTGTTATAATAACGCCTTCTGTTGAAGAAGATGGCTTTGCTCTTATCGGGATTCAGTTCGATTCTCCATTTTCTGCACCAATCTCCTAGTGCGTTTGCTGCAGCTTGGAGTCGACTGCAGATTGTAATGGGATGGAAGTCTGAAGAGTAGATGGTAGTATCATCCGCGTATAGTGCGAGATGAGTACCTACTATCGAAGGGATGTCACTTGTGTAAAGTGAGTACAGGGTCGGGGAGAGCACCGAGCCCTGGGGAACTCCTGCTCTGATTGATCTGGAAGAGGAGAATGTACCCTCCACGCGAAAACGGAAGGATCTATTTGTAAGAAAATCTTGAACGATTTTGACAAGTCTTAAGGGCACCCCTGCATGGATAAGTTTGAAAACTAGTCCATTGTGCCAGACTTTGTCGAAGGCCTTGGCCACATCGAAGAACAGTGCTCCTGTGTAAACAGGGCGCCTGTTCGCCCTTGCAGCCTGATCTAAAATGTGCTCCGTGAGGCGGTGCACCTGTTGAACACTTGAGTGTTTGGCTCGAAAGCCAAACTGCTCGTTTGGAATTAGGTTCTTACTAAGCACTGCATCCTTCAGACGGCTGAGGATGATGCGCTCATAGATTTTCCCCATGGCACTGAGGAGACTGATAGGTCTATAGCTAGAAGCTCTGTCTCTAGGTTTGTTCGGTTTGTGAATACCGATTACTTCTGCTTCTTTCCACACTTGTGGGAAGGTGCAGGTGGACAATAGAACATTGAAAATATCCACTAGAAGGCAGATCAATTTTGGGGGAAGAGCTTTAAACACTTTGTTATTTATACCGTCGGCGCCTGGCGCTTTTCGGGGTTTGAGATTTTTGATGATGGTTTTCACCTCATCAAAAGTAACGGGAGGGAGTGGATCATCCGTTGGTGGGGTGGCGGACAAATTGGCCGCTTCCTCGTCCACCTTGTTCAGGTGGACGGGGTCGATTGGCAAGGTGCTTGGAGAGCATTGGCTCTCGATGCTATCCGCCATGCACTCGGCCTTCTCCGAGTCGAACGCTAACTGACCATCAGATGTAACTAATGGGGGCATCGAAGCGACATTTTCTGATTTAAGAGATCTCGCCAGCTTCCAGAAGGCTGTATGCGAGGGCGAGATATCTTGCATCAGATTGTCCCATCGTGACTCCCTCAGCTGGGCCATGCGCTCCTTGACCTCTCTACAGAGGCGGCGCAGATTGGACCTATTATTGTCTGTTCTATAACGATCATAGGCCCTCACCGCAGCGTTTTTCTCTCTCAGTAATCGCCGTACATCCCCTGGGAGCTCAAAACGACGATCGTTCGACGCCTTGAGCCGCCTCGAGGATTCCTCGGCAACCACCTTTATGTGAGAGGAGATGTGAGAGATGGCTTCTAAGGCCACTTCTTTAGTGTCTATAGCGTCTGGCACTTGATCTAAATATTCTGTGTTCATAGTTTCGAGGTTGGCCTCGAACCTATGCCAGTCCGTAACAGTTTTGGTTGTAAGAACCTCATTGCTGGACTGTCCTAACGACATTATAACCGGACGGTGGTCCGAAGTTAACTCATGCACCACTTCTATGGAGCGTAACGTTAAGGTTACGTTCCTGAGTAGTGCTAAGTCAATTTTAGACGGATTATGAGTTCTATTCGTTGAAAAACTAGTGTCCTCCGGAGGAGCTATTATATTGAACTCTAGGCTATCACTAAGTGCAAATAAGTCATAGCCGTTGATGTTGTTCTTAACTTTCCTATTATTAGTCCAGACTTGATGTTTGCTATTAAAATCGCCTGCTAATATGACCGAATTACTAAGGTTAAATAGAGCTTCAAAATCGCTCTTTACTATCTTTTTATTGGGAGAGAGATATACACAGGCTACCGTGATCGGTTGATGACCGGTCATGGCGACTCTGCAAACGGAGGCCTCTAGATCAGTTAATTGAGGCGTGTCTATGGGAACTACATGTAGGGACGACCTATAATAAATAAGAGTCCCTCCTAATCTATTCCCTATACGATCGTTTCTAATTACTCTGTAATTGGCTATTTTTGGGTCTTTAATGCTAGGCTTAAGAAAAGTCTCTTGCACTAGCAGTATATCAATCTGATGATCAGTGAGGAAGGTTCTGACTTCGTCAATTTGATTTTTAAGGCCGTGCGCATTGAAGAAGGCGACAGCTATCGATCTAGGTTTTATTCTAGCTGTAGTTGTATTATCCATTTAGAAGAATAAAACCGAGCCAAATTAACAGTAGGCAAGAACTTCGGACCTAATTGGCCCTGAAGTTCTTTATCGCCTCTATTACCTCCATGTGGTCCAGGGAGGCCTGGAGGCGCTCTTTAGCAGAGCGCGCCGTCCTAATCTTATGCGCTAGAGTACGCAGTTCATTTACGTCAAAACTGTCTACGAAGTCGCAGACAAGGTTGACATCCTCAGCTAACTCCTCCATGGCCGGGGAGTGGGTCGATTTGGTCACCGCTTTGGGCGTTGGCTCCTTTCGCGGGGCACGGGCGACTGAAGGTGCCGGTGCGCACGCGGGAGTGGGAGCAGGAAGAGAGGTGGGCACCCTCTTTTGTGCACCACTGGCCAGGCTTAGCGGCTTGGCCCAAGCACTTTGCTTGGGAGCCGGAGCCGGAACGAAGGCAGGGGGAGAGGGACCACCCTTTTTGGGGGGGTCCTGTGCTCCCTTCTGCTTGGGGGGCTGCTTGCGACCCCCGTCGTTTCTTCCCCTCGGCTTTTGTGCCTTGGGGGCTTTTGGACAATTGCGGAAGTTCGCAGTGTGTCCAACCGCCCCGCATAACACACAGCTCGGGGGGGCCGAAGCGCCACGGGTGCACTCCTTAGTGCCGTGGTCCCCTGTGCATTTCACGCACCTGGGACGGGCGAAACAGTTTCGAGCCGAGTGCCCATAAAGTTGGCACCTATGGCACTGACCCGGCGTCTTTTTCTTGTGTGGGGGTTCTACGATTACCCCCGAGAGATGGCATACTGTGCGCACATCGAAAATTTTCTTGCCCTCCTCTGAGAGGTCAAGAATTACTAACACCAGGTTGTAAGGGGTGTTGGTCGATTTGTTGACCATGCGG